ATGACGGGCTACATTTTTTAAATGTGCACTGAGAAAATAGCATGAAAAAAAGGGAAGAATGGCATTAAATAAATCTTTCTGAAAGAATGGGAAGTACCTCGACTTAGGCCTAATAACATTTAAATCTGGGGTCCTTGCCGAAAGACCTGTCCTGAATCACAACTACTGTACATAAAATCTCTGTCCTCAGCAGCTGAAAACACTCTGGACCCTCTTAAAATGTAAATGCAAATTTCAGAGTACAGCCCAAGTGGGCGGGGTGTGGTGGGCGATAAAGCCCAGAGAATCTAAGCACATATTTATAGAAAAATGGTAGAAATCATTTTCTGACAGAGATGTTTATGCAAATAGCTACAATGTCAAAAAATATTTCTATTTCATTTGTAGAAAAATAAGCTATTAGCAAAATTATCAAACATCACACAGAATCATGATCTGTCACATGATAAGGCAGCATTGATTCCATGACTGCTGACAGGTGTTTGCTTTCTGCATGGATACTGCTCATGAACCTGGTTTGGTGGTGGCTCCACTCCAGGTAGTGGATTGCAATTTTTTTTGTTTTTGGTACCAGGGATCGAACTGGGGTTCTTGCACTTGCAAGGCAGGCAGCGGAACCACTGGGCTAAATCCCTGACCCTGGATTGCAATTCTTAATAGCATGATTCTTAACATTAAGAATGAAGTGTCAGCAAGTTTGAGGCCAGCCTGAACTACATAGTGAGACCCTGTCTCGAAAAAAAAAAAAAAAAAAATGAAGTGTCAGGATTTTGTAACTGAATAGTATATGAGGTACATAAGGAGAAATTCCCAGAAACTTCCTGATTGGTTTATTAAAAATTCAAGGGCCAGGGACTTAGCTCAGTGGTTGTGCTGCCTGCTTTGCAAGCACAAGGTCCTGAGTTCAATCCCAGGTACCAAAAAAAAAAAAAATTCAAGTTACACACCCAGGCATGGTGGCATATGCCTGTAATCTCACCACTTGGGAAGCTGAGGCAGGAGGATCACCAAAAGTTTGAGGCCAGCCTGGGTTATATAGTGAGTTCAAGGCCAGCCTGAATTACAGAGAAAGACCTTCTCTCAACCCCCTCCCTCCAAAACTTCAAGTTACAGAAGAAGGCATTTATTGTTTAGTAAGAGTTACTCTATAAGCTATGAGGCAGCCTGATGGAATTGTAGCTCTGGATGCAGGACGGACGTGGTTCTTACAATAACTATTTCTCCTGGTTTTGATTCAACACAGGTACAATAAATTAGTACAAACCATAAAAACTGTAAAATAGCAGCCAGTGAGAATAATCTTCACAAAACAGTAGGTAAATAGGTCCTTTTTTGCAGAGAAGTATAGAAGCCAGTAATAGGTAAGATGCGTTCACAATTTTTAAATAGTGGAAGGCAGTGAGGTCCCGGGGGGGGAACCCTTGAGGACAATGATGGGACTCTGGCTCCTCTGCATTCCCTGTTTCCCATCCTCAATGAGGTGGGAAGCTTTCCTCTGCCCTGCACTCCCTACCATGGCTGCTGCCTGGGCACAGGCACAAAGAAACGGGACTGACTAACCATGGGCCCAAGTAAACCATCTTCTTCTGACCTCGGTTGATCTCAGTTATTTTCTCTCAGTGATGAAAAGCTGGCTAACAGACCATGGATTTTTTTAAGTGCATATTTTTAAAAACTCATACAAGCTAGGGATGGTGGTGCATGCCTATAATCCTAGCCCTTGGGAGGCTGAGGCAGGAAGATCGTCACAAGTTTAAAGCCAGCCGGAGCTACATAGTGAGACCTGTCTCAAAACGAACAAAAACAAAACCTGTACAATATGACTTGTCTTCTAGTTTGTTGAAGTAATGGGTCAGGCAACATTTGACACAGTGATGTCTGTCAAAACAACTGGGCACCAAAATGTTAGCACTATATCCAACTGGAAGACACTCCCCACAGAGGTAACTATTTGATGGTCCTCAGCCACTCTGGCTCTGCTGCCTCTGGACAGCCAGCTTAACTTTCCTTCTCTAGTGCTAAGTCTCCTCAGGCATTTAAGACTTCTTCCTTTTCTTCACACAAAGTCTCAGCTTAAATGAGGAGTGGCTCAGTATGTCCAGGGCCCTACGGTCAATCCTCAGCACAAAGAAAAGAAGAAAAGAACAACAGTGGAGTTCTTCTGAGTGTTGCAGTCAAAGTACATCCATCCTCTGTTTGCTTGAGTGCCAGCACAGATAGGTTTTTGCTGACCCGGAAGAACCCCTTCCTTACCCTGGA